GCACATGCATACTTAAAAAATAAAATAAAAGCAGTTGAGAAACTGGAAAATGCTTTCTGTTTGTATGTGACAGAGACATCAGCATCCTTTCTATATGAAAATTGAACAGTAGCAGAAAAAATTAAAGCCTCAATAGAGAAAAATGTGGAAATGATAACAATAGCAATAGCAATCATTTTCAGAGCACTTCCCATGCACCAAGAACTGTGCCGAGTGCTGGGAGGGCATCACTTCATTTCAGCCATACCTCCCTGCAAGGTGGGTGCCATGAGTCACCCCCATTTCCTAGGTGAGAAAACAGAGCTTATGGCCACATTCCTTACTGGTATCAGCTGCTGTTAATAGGCAGGGTGGAACCCACCTCTTAACTACTCCATGTTTCAAATCCCAAAGGAAAACTACAAATGGTCATCGTACATAATATCTATAACATGTATTGTACAGAATATATGCATATAGTCTATGTTCAGAATACCATTAATAATGATCATGCACTCTCTGTATATTAAGTATATATTCTCTCTATATATTAAGAGGCCATTAATGGGACTCAAGAGATGGATTAATAGTGAAGAGCACTGGCTGTTCTTGCAGAAGGCCCAGGTTAGATTCCCAGCTCCCACATGATGACTAACAACCATCCCTAACTCCAGTTTCAGGGGCTCTGATGCTCTCTTCTGATGTCCGCAGGCACTTTACCACACAGGTGCACTTACATCCATGAAGGCAAATACACACATACACATAAAATAAAAATAAATAAAATATAAAAAAGAGGTCATTAGCAAAGACCATTATGATTTTTCTATCTAATTGACCCTGCCTCTGCCCCAGGCCGACCTGGTCAGTTGCTTACCCCTCCTTGTGGAGTGCTGAGGATGGAAGCCAGGCCCTTGCACATTCTAAGCAGGCAGCCCTGCCTCTGAGCCTCATCTCCAGCCCTTGGCTTTTTCTGAGACAGGACCTTGCTACATCATAGTCTAGACTGGTCTCCAACTCATGATCCTCCTATTTCAGCCTCCTGAGTGCTGGAACCACAAGTCTGGGCCACTATTCCTGGCTAATGGACAAAGGTTTTTAGGTGACAGAACTCAGTGGTGGGAAGCATCCCAAACCGTGGCACTAAACAGCTCTGGTGGGTGCTTGCTGGAACAAGAGCAATTTTTCTGGAGGTCATTTAGAAATGCTTCCAGAAGCCCTTGGAAAGATCCATGCTGTCGGCAGCAGAGTTGCTGTGCCTGCCCTCCTGATGGACTCTCTAATCCTCTACCCTGCCTCTGCCCCAGGCCGACCTGGTCAGTTGCATCCCCAGGCTCCCATGGTCCTGTCTCTAGCAGGCTTCTCAATGGGAGGTCGGGAACAAGGGCAATGGGGGCAGCCAGGAGCCAAGTTGCAGGGTGGGAAGGAGGCCAGAGACAGCTTCTCCTGGTCGCCTCTCTCAGGCCACCTGCTGGTTCCTCTGTGCCTAGAGATGACAGCATGCATCTGTAGCCAGCCCTGGATCCCTGGTGATTCTCCTACATCCTTCCCAGCCCTTTGTAAAGTCAACTGCTCTGTAAGAAAATCTCCTGGGACTGTCTTGGTTCCCTGTCTTCTGGGAAGAATGCTGCCAGAGACATCTCTTTGTTTTTTGAGACAGGGACTCCTTTAACCCCAGCTAGCCTGGAACTCACTATGGAGCAGGCTGGCCTTGATCTCACAGAGACCCACCTGCCTCTGCCTCCAGAGTGCTGTGATTAAAGGTGTGTGCCATTATGCCTGGTCCTCATGGAGACATTGCTCAACCTAGTGATTTCATTCTAGACATTATCCTAAGGAAATAACCAGGGTAATGTGAAAATGTGTGAGAACTTTTGCCTCTCCAACTCAGCCTGGAAACCATAGGAACAGAGAGATCCTGACCCAGATGATGACCCAGGCATGGGAACTACATAGCCATTAAAAATTGGATCATGAAAAGATAATTAATGGCATGGAAATACAATTAAGAAATACTTCAAGTAAGCCAGGCGTGGTGGTGCATGCCTTTAATCCAGCACTCAGGAGGCAGAGGCAGGCAGATCTCCATGAGTTCAAGGCCAGCCTGGTCTACATATCAAATCCAGGCCAGCTGGGGCTATAGGGAGACCCTGTCTCAAACAGGCCAACCCCCCCAAAAAAACCCCAAAACCAACCAAACAAACAAACAAACAAAAAAACCCAAAAGAAATACTTCAAGTAAAAACAATATTCCTACAGTTTCAGAGAGAAGTAACTAAACTTGTAGCAACTACCTTCCAGTTAGATTTATGGCTAAATTTTGATACCACATGCCCTTTCTTCCTAATCTTTTAAAAATGAAACCCCCATCAAGCAAAGACCTCACCTCAAAGGTTGCAGCAATCAGTGCTGGGAGCCTGCTGTATGCCTTGACACCATCCAGCTGAATGTGGCCAGCTTGGTGCCCTGGACTCAGTAAACAGCAGATACTATTGAAGGGAAAGAGATGTGGCTGTGATGGTGGGTAAGGCAGCCTAGCAAACACCAAGAGGGAACAGGAAAGAGGGCTGGGGTAGGAACCAGTCCTTGGCCTCCAGCCCCTGCCAACCTGCCTCATCCTGATAGTCTGCACTCTAAGTGAGCAGAGGTACCTGCAGTGGGGCCCAGGTCCAGACTGGAGCCATTCAGTTCCTCCTCTTCCCAGAAATACTGAGGTGGCTGCAGGAGCCGTGATTCCTCACTGTCCTCGCTGGGGAAGCCTGAGCCTGGAGCCAAGCCAATACCCAGGCCCATGGCCTCACTGGGCTCCTCCGAGTCCAGTGGCTCAAAGCCAGTGGGTAGCAGCAGGTCCAGCAGGGAGGTGGAGGTGAGGCCCTCTGGGCCTGGCTCTTCCGCAGTGGCTGCACATGCACCCAGGGAAGCTCCTGCAGACACAAAACCAGATGTCAGGAGGGCAGCAAGGACAAGAACTGGCCAGGTATCACAAAGATGGGCACTCCTCAACACCCTGGCTGTGAGGGGACCTGAGGTGCTGTTTGTACTTCCTCATAGACACATGCTCAGTCCTCCCTGTGACAAAGGTGGAGAGAAGACTGGGTGACCCTGCCCTACCAACCCCCAGGGCCCTCAGAAAACTCCCAGCCTGCCCTGGCAGCTGTGCCAGACACTGCAGGTACAAATACAAGCCAAGGACCTTGTTCTGCATGTGACAGTTCCCCAGGCATCCATCCTGGGCTAAACTTTTCCAACCTGCATTACAGATGTGATGTGTATTGCAAAAGTCTCCTGAGCTGAGTGCAGTTTAGACACACACACAAAGTCACAGGGAAAACACCAGTGTTGGTATCCAGCGCATTTATTTAGAGCCTTGGATCCTCCTCATTTATGAAGACAATATAAATGGAGACCTGACCACAAACTAGAAAAGATCACCTCCCCTTTCACTCCCCTCCACTGTGAATAGCAGAGCAGCATATTGGCCAACTTCACAGCTAACTTAGTCACCATCTTGTTACAGGATTTGGGAAGTTGCTCCAGACCCCTGGGTCTCACTCAGCTCCTTACCTGGGAGACCAGGAGGCTGACAGACATGCCCTCTCTATCCCTCTCAAGATGAACATTCATAATGCAGGGAGTGTGGGTCCAGGTCTCCCCTGCCCCACACTGGATGTGACCCTCTGCAACCACAGTATATGGAAATTTTCAGTCATGTTTATAATAAAAAGACCTCATATTATCAGAATCATGTGCAAAGTGCTTTGTAAACAGCATCTGAATTTTAATGACCACACCCCCATGGTGAGGAAGACAGTGCCTGGCCACTGAAGGATAGGAGAGCACTGCAGAGTTCCAGCAGAAAAAGAGGGAATGTCAGATCCACTATGCACCTGTCAGACAGCCCAGAGTCAGAAACATCACACTGACCTCTAGGGAAGCATCCAGCAAGGTGAATGGGGAGTAAGAGGGCCAGGAGAAGAAGGCAGGCAGGGCAGGGTAACAGGAAAATGAGCTTAGATTTGACTTCTTTCACTGAGGGAAATTCCTTTAGCACATCCAGCCTTAGTGTTCTCATTTGTAAAAAAGGATTGTCACAGTCACTCCAAACCCCCAGCACCAGAGGGAGGCGCATGCACTCTAGGTGAGTAGAGTGCCTGTCCTAAGACCCACAGGCACTGCGTGCTCACTGCTCTCTCGGGGGAACCTGGAGGAACAGCAGGGAGAAGGGGAACCCTTGAGAGGATGAAATGGGTTGTTCTTCACCTGCATTCATGAAAAGGCTGGGCAGGAGGTGGTTCCCACTTGTAACTCCAGCACTGGGGGGTGGGGGGGTGCTGAGGCAAGAGGATCACAGGTTTGAGGCCAGTGTAAGCTATATAGTGAAACTTTATCTCAAAAAAACAAAAATGAATGGAAAGAAGGAACAGAGGGAGGGAGGGAGGGAGGAAGGGGAAAGGGGAGGGAAGGAAGGAGAAAAAAGGAAGGAAAGAAGGAAGGGAGGGAGAAATGGGAGAGAGGGAGGGAAGAAGGGAGGGAAAGAGGGGAGAGAAGGAAGGAGGAAGGTTGAAGCAGAAGGGTTGAAAATTTGAGGCCAGTTTGGGCTACATAGTGAGACTATCTAAACAGGAAGAAGGAAGGAAAGAAGGAGAAAGGAAGGGAGGGAGGGAGGGAGGGAGGAAAAGACTGACTGGAGCAGCAGGCTTCATCATTGAGGCTCCTGTCATCAAAGCTGATTCTTCCAGTGCTGACTGGAGGTGTGGGAAGGCTGAGGCAGGAGCTCGCTGCTGTGGTCTCTCCTACTCTGCAGCTCAGAGATACTTCAACAAGCTCATTCACAGGCCCCACTCTGAGATGGGAATGTTGTTATACCTGGAAGAAGGTCATGTTGGAACCCAGTGACCCTGCTGAGCTACAACTCTGCTGCACAGCCTACGGCCCTGCAGAGTTCCTGGCTCCAGCACTGCAGTCAGCACACCTCTTCCAGGGTGTCTCTGTCTTTGTCCAGGACACCACATCCAAGATCAGAGGTTCTGCTTCGTGAGGCTGAAGCCATGCTCCTGTGTCCATATCAACACTGGAAAGGGGATCTCGTTCCTGTGGCTTCTTAGAGCCAAGACAACTGAGGCCAGAGGGAGCCATGGCCAAGTTTGGGACCCACCTCCCCTGAGGCTCTCCTTGGTTTCTAGAAGGTTCCCATGAGCCTTTCCCCTTCCAATTTCCCTTCCCATCATACATAGGGAGTCCCTAAGCTACTCTTGGTTTTTCTGGTATAATGGGGAAGAGCAATATCTAACTCCTCATAGGTGGATAGTAGTGAGGCAGGATTCTGTGCCTAACACAGAAACTATCCTGGGGAAAGGTTCTTCTCTGAGACCCTGGGATAGAGGTGTGTCCTCTAGGAGTCATACCTGTGGAGCGACTTTGTGGTTCTTCCCTTCAAGCCTGACATCTAAGTCCCCAGTGCTCAGATCTCAGCTACCACCATGAATTCTGGCCAGGCATATGCTGATGTGATGAGTCGCCATCTTCAAGACCAGGCCTCAAAGGCCTTGCAAGCTTTATTCTCCCAGGACTTCTGGCTGAGGTAGCCTAGGCTAGCCTGCTCCAGAACAAAAGCCCATGTAGAAAACAACAGCATCAGTATAGTGTCCCAGCTGAAGCCCTGAGTGACAGAGCCAGCAAAGACAAGCAAAGTGATGATGAGGAACCTGAAGGAGTCGGGCTGAGCCTGGGAAGAGCTGCCAGCTGAGCCCAGCCACACTGCCAACTGCAGAGTCATGAGCTAAATAAACGAAGTTTGTTCAAAACCAGTGTCTTCCAAACTTGAGCCAGCATGGATTCATTAGGAGGGTGTGTTCAAAGAGTATTAAGCCTCAGGTGAGCTTTGAGCTCAGTCGGTCTGTGAGGAGCCCTAAGAATTTACATTTCTGGAACACTCCCAGGTTGATGCTTCTAGGTCAGGGATCTCATTTCAGGAATTTCATGTTTACTGAATATGTTAAATCTGTAGTGAAATGCTTCCTCTAATCATGTAGTTATTAAAAATTTTTAAAAATGATAAAAAATAATTAGTAGATGTGAAAAACATTACCACTTAATAATTAGTAGATGTGAAAAACATTATCATTGAAATCTACATGATGACTTTATATCCATGCTCACATGCCAAGGAGCTCAAAAAGTCTCTGACTGTGACTAGGAAT